CCAACTTATCTACAAAGTCTTAAGACATTTAGGAACGGGTCTCATTAGTAACCCAGAGATTACCTGCCTTCTCACTTAATTTGTTGTTTACTGTTTTGAGGAATCACTTCACATTCCTCCTCTTTCTAAACCCACAAGGTGGCCCTTAAACAGACACCCAATTTGGTTTATCCTGTTTGCTTCCTGTTAGTTCTGGTTAAGATAATCTTAAAGCACCTATTACAAAGTTAACATTATAAATGTTAGTAGTAGTGTTATTATGAGCTGTCAAAGATGTTGCTCTTAAGTATTCCTAAACCTCATTGCACAACAATGAATTAACAGTGCAGAACTGAGACTACTGTCCTTACTAAAGCCTGCTTGAAGATTCGCCCTAGGCGAGTATCTGAGAACTTGGATTTTGGGAGTGTACATGAGAAATACGGTTTATACTGCCTAAACTGTATAAACAATGTGGTTTATGCTTTATACTGCTTTAGACCTCTTAAGAATGTGGAATTTTGGTGTGTGTTACGGAAAGAGTGCTTATGTGACCAGCTCCAATAAAAACTTTGGATGATGAGTCTCTAATCAGCTGCTCTGATAGATAGTACTTCAGAAGTGTTGTTACAATGTGATGCTGGAGGAATTAAATGCATCCTGTGTCACTACTGGGAGAGGACTCTTGGAAGCTTGCCTGGTTTCCTCTGGACTGTGCCCCACGCACTTTTTCCCTTTGCTGATTTTGCTTTATATTCTTTGGCTGAAATAAATCGTAACCATGAGTGTGACTGTCAGAATCAGCTTGTCAACCCTCCCTTACCCCTCTGTAACTTGGAATTTTAACTGGGATTACATTAACTCTTTGGATAAATTTGGGGGAGAACTGACATATTCACAATATTGAGCCTTCCTATCCATGAACATGGTATATTTCTCCATGTATTTATATTCTGTACTTGCATTTCTCTTACATTTCTACTAAGAGAAGATAATCTTCTCTTACTAGTTGTAGTTTTCAGTATAGAAATTTTATACATTTCTTCCTAGGTGATTGATATTTCTTAATGTAGATTCTTGTGGATTTTCTACATATATGATTGTATAACCTGGGAATAAAGATGTTTCATTTCTTTTCTTTTCTTTCCAATCTTTGCTTTATTCACTTGCTAGGACCGATAATGTTCTATAATGTTGAATAGAAGCGATGATAGTGCACATCCTTATTTAATATATAATAAATTTAAAGAAAGTCCCCTGTTTATACTCAAGGGAACATAGGGGTTTACCTAGTTCAGTTGTTGATAGTTCTCATTTTTTGTAGGCATGGTGAATGTAAAAGCAACCAAGGTAATTGACACAGGAGGAGGCTTCATTTTGGAAGAGGAAGAAGAAGAGGAACATAAAATTGGAATGGTTGTTCATCAACCAGGTAATGTGTGTTTTTCAGAAAATAGGTTATCTAGAATTGGTTATTTTGAGTACTATGTATACATCTTTGCAAACTGATGTTAAGTAACACTGCACTTACTTTACTCCATGAGCAGATAAAGTTTATAAAGTGATCTGGCAGCTTTGCTAGTAGATTAAAAGTCAAAGAAACACCTATCCATATGAAAATGGTCAATAATTTAATTTGTGTTTGTGTTTCTGATTTTGTACTGTGGGTTGAAGCTTGTACTGTGGGTTTATATTGGTAAGGATGGTTAGCATATAAACTAATTGAATACTCAAAATCATCTTGATTGACTGAAATGAGGGGCCAGAACCCAAGATAGAATGTTTATGTAAATTTTTGTATTTATGTTGGGAGGTAAAAAATTTTACGTAAGTATAAGATATTATGATCTAAGGTAAATACTTCAGTAAATACAGTAAGCTAAGGATGGGGATATTTTCACACTCTGAAAAAATAAAAGAACTGGAAGCTTTATTGGATCATGTTTTATAGCCAGTAGTATAATACGACAAGTGAAATAAAAAAACAAAAACAAAAAAAACCTATTCCAGTCTTTAACTGAAGCAGCAGACATGTATTCATTAAGGTAGCTGAGATTTCTGTTCTGCTCTGTGCGTCTGAACTGTTATTTTTAGGTTAGACTTGAAAGATTAGTTCAGATGTCAAAGTTTGAGAGACTGACAAATATTTAATGTCCAAAAGATGGTGGCCAAAATGGAAGTCTGAAATTGACATGGTAGAAGCAACTGTCAAAACAAGGCAGGCTTCCATCCACCTGCAGATGAAGTCAGTTCTTGTCTGTGGGAGAGTCATTGCACTTGGTGTGGTTTGCTTTGGTGGGCAGAATTTGGAAAAGTGGGTGAAGATTACTGTGAGGGAGATTCTGCCCCATATGTGCTGTAACTCATGTACATGTAGCATTGTGCACTTAAAAGTGCTGGCATGTGTGTCATGTGAGCTTCGTAGCAACTCTGGAATGGAGAAACTTAACCGTGTAAAATGCCGCCTCTAAATAGGAAAGCACTGGAAGGGTTCGGAGAGTGAAAGGCCACCTGACCAGGATGCTGTGGAGAAGCAGCCATGCGTTAGGTGGGAAGGCACTGAACTGAATGACCTTCAAGCCCCCATGGTGTCATGTGTACGCAGACTCAGTGTAACTGTTCTGCAGAATCCTGACTCGAGCCTGGGCTGTGAAGCCTGCATTTTCATGTAATAGGTCATTCAAGAAGTACTTAGGGAGAACCTTATTCCTTGTATTACTTCATCTCTCGTTTCTTTCTTCCTTTAAAACTTTCTTTTCAATAAATCTAAGGTTAATCATTGTTTTATTTTGCTTTTTATTTAGATGTATTTTTGTTGGCTATAAAGCACATGACAATAAGCTAATAAGATTGAGGAAAAATGTATTGTTCTAGTTGTAGAAAATGGAAACGTAAATAATTAATCTCCCTTTCTCAGGGCCTGTTATGGAATTTGATTATACAATATGTGAAGAATGTGGGAAAGAGTTTATGGATTCTTATCTCATGAACCACTTCGATTTGGCAACCTGTGATAACTGCAGGTACTCACTTTGTTTCTCACAATGTACTTCATTGCTGATTTTTGATGCTTACATACAGGTTTAGGGTAAAACAATAGATCTTTGGATTTAATGTTTCCTTAGTAGTTAGGATTTGTATTTTGGGAATTTCCTAAAATCTCTGTGGTTTCCATTTTGAGACGGAAATACAGGCAGTCTGTCTCTAGGCTGTGCTTGTCAAACTTATCATATGTCCCATATAGGAAGGGCACCAGTGGTCTTACCATGTTGTTATGTGCTGTCGAGTCGGACCCGACTCATAGCGACCCCTCCTTGGGTTTCCAAGGCAGTATCGCTTCGGAAGTAGATTGCCCCATCTTCCTTCTGAGGAGTAGTTGGTGGGTTTGAACCACCAGCCTTCTGGTTAGCAGTTAAGTGCCTTAGGCATTATGCTACCAGAGCTCCTAGAAAGATGGCCGCCAGGTCTACACTGGTGGTGAGTGGCTGGTGGGTTTGAACCGCCAGCCTTAAGCCCGAAGCCATCCTCTAGGGCCTGTCTTACCATAGAAACTTTGTTCTCCTTTCTGCTGGCCTGTGGGGTTTTACTATCGCAGCAAGTTCCCGATCCTTCTCTTCACTCAGCCCTAAGAATTCCCATTCATTACTTATTCCAGTTTAATGTTGACACCTTGGTCAAAGGATTGGGGCCTTCAGTGAGAGGCGGGGAGAACAGTCCCTCCAGCCACTGTTGGTCCTTTCAGCTCACCTCTTTCCACTCATCCTTTGCTCCCCTGGGTCAGCAGGGAAGAGAACACACGCAGAGAAATCCCAGGCTTTCTCCTAACCTTTATCCTCTATTTTATCACCCCAGTAATCCTTCTTGCTGTGCAGTCTCTTGTCCCAACCATTTATCTCAGCCAGGTCCTGGGTTGGTCTGTCCCAATCTTAAGTCCTGGGTTTTGTGATAGACTCCTGTGCTGGGACCTTTGATTTCTCCCTCCCTGCCTCACCTGCTCTTCCTCCAGAACTCGGCTTTTCCGGGATAACCAGCATCAGTCACTGGCTTTGTCCCCACTGGGCCATGTGCAGTTCAGAATCCACTGTGCTCTATGTTCCAGCCGCGTCCTGAATCCCTCTGCTTCTCATCCTCTCGCCTGCTGCCGTCAGCGCTGGCCTGACCAGCGCGGTAGTGTTCTAAGTGGTCTCTGGCCCCCTGCTTCTGACCAGGCCGTCTTCTGCTCAGAACTCTTCAATGGTTTCTATCCAGGTGGAGTAAAACTCAGTCTCTCCCACTGCTTACATTGCTTGCCTGCCTCTGACTTTACCCCCCACTCCTCACCTGCTTCAAGCATTCTAGTCACACCACCTACTTGCTGTGATGGTCAGTCGCAAAGCACACTCTGCCCTAGCACCTCTGTACTTCCTGTTCTCTGTGCTGTCACTGTACTCTACCCAGAATGCTCTGTGCCTGAAGGGCTCTGCTCTCGTATCAGTGGCTTTTTCTGATTACTCAGCCAATCTGGAAATTCCTACCCCTTTATAATGGTTTGTAAGGAGCTCTGGTAGCACAGTGCCTAAGGCATCTGACTGCTAACTAGAAGGTTTGCAGTTCAAACCTACCAGCCACTCTACAGAAGCAAGACTAGGCAATATGCTTCTGTAAAGATTTACCACCTTGGAAACCCAGTGTGGATCTCTATGAGTCAGAATCAACTTGATGGCGGTGAATTTGGTTAGGTTTTGGTTACCATGGTTTAGAGTTATTTTTAGCACTTTCACTGGCATTATGCTAATTGACTGGCTTCTCCCAAGTAAATGTGAGCTTCCTGAGATATGGCATTGTTTTCGTCTTTGCTGTATTCCTAGTGCCTCAAACCTGGCACATAGATGGGAAACAAGCGAGATGAACTATGTCTCCATTTTTATCTTGGCTTTGAAAAAGCCCAGCGCCAGTTGGCAGCTCACGTAGGAAACTGGACCTCGGGCATTTGTATTCCTGTTTCCTGCCCAGCTTGACTTGATGCTTTTATTGACATTCTTCTTCCTGGTCTTTGCTCTCATTTATATCTGCTCTGCTCCCATAAGTCATTTCAGTCCTCTGTGGCAAATGAGGGACTTCAAAGAACAAAAGAAATTGTTCAGTTGTTAACTGATATGATCTGCTGGCACTGTGACAGCTTCTCAGGATCAGTAAAGGAGGACACCTTCTCTCTCTGAGTTTTCATGCTGCCCATTTGACCAGGAGGGTTGCAGGGAAAGGCACCTTTCCCTTTCGGTACACATGCTGCTAGGCTGCTGGATGACTAGAAAATTGAGTTTAGTAAAGAACTGAATTTATATAACGGCCTTAATCTGTTTGCAGAGATGCCGACGGTAAACACCAGCTAATAACCAAAACAGAAGCAAAACAAGAATACCTGCTGAAAGACTGTGACTTAGAAAAGAGAGAACCCGCTCTTAAATGTATTGTGAAGAAGAATCCTCATCATGCACAGTGGGGTGATATGAAGCTTTACCTAAAATTACAGGTCTTTAATGGTCTTTAACAAGTTACAGCCATTCCCTTCAGACTCAGGGCCAGGTGACATTTGAACAATGAAGTAATTATAATTAGTTCCATTTTGCTTATGTTGTTGTTGTTGTTATGTGCCATCGAGTCGGCCCTGACTCATAGCGACCCCTCCTTGGATTTCCGAGGCAGTATCACTACAGAAGTAGGATTGCTCAACCTTCCTTCTGAGGAGTGGCTGGTGGATTTGAACTGCCAGCCTTCTGGCTAGCAGTCAAGTGCCTTAGGCACTATGCTACCAGAGCTCCTGTTTTGCTTATAGAGAGTTAAAAAGCTCCTTTTCCTTTGTTGTTTTGTATGAGTCTGTCATGAATAACATTTCATGACAATATTTTCCAGTTTCACTTTTTGGTATAGTTCTTTGGAACAAGTATGATGCTATTGGTGATGTTAGCAGTGCAATTCAGAGAGTCAAAAAGTTTGGAATAAGTATCAGACCCTGTTCCCTGGGAGAAAATTTAAAAACAAGAAGAAAACTCTCAAGAATTCACAAATACCTAAAATTTAAGTGCACTTGGGGAAGACCCATCTGGAACCTTCTCAGGTGTCCATGTACTGGGCTCTGTCTCAGAGCAGATGCTCAGCTGTCATCCTGCTTGCTGCTAACGGGTTACAATGTGCCCGTTCTTTATGCACTTAGTGCCTGGAGCTGCTGGAGTGCCCAGGCTAGTTACCTTGAGTCACAGCCTCCTGTAGCCACCCCAGTGAATGGAGCAAATGTACACATCCTTTTCTGTGTCATTTTATTAAAAAGATTGGGAGGCATTGCTTTAGAATACAGTTTGAATCAAATGTACTAGGAAATCTCATATCGTCATACAAAATACTCGGAAAACAATTTTTCTGTTAATAGTCTAAGTCAGTATATGTTTACTAAGGGTTTCTTCAATTTAGACAGATGTTATTAGAGTTGTTTCTTACTAATATTTCAAATCTTTTACATTTTAAGTATTTGCAAATTGTAATTTTATAACTGTAACTTGAGTTAGATCATTAATTGGCACCTGTGGATCTAGTCATCGTAACTTCATAGTCTTTCCAACTTGGAATCACAGCTCCCTGTGTTGTAGATCGTGAAGCGGGCTCTTGAAGTGTGGGGTAATCAGGAAGCATTAGAAGCAGCGAAGGAAGCGCGACAGGAAAACCGGGAGAAAATGAAGCAGAAGAAGTTTGATAGGAAAGTGAAAGGTAAGTGGCAGTGTTTCCCGTCATGCATGACTTTCACCACGTGCAGAAGGCTTCCGGGAAGTGCTTCCTGTGTGGAGGACAGACTGCGACGTGATTTTTCAGCTTGGAAAATCGGTTCATTTTCCCTCAGTAGGTTGGTGTGAGGCTCAGTCCACACGTCACAGTACTGCATTTCTGAAACACGTGTAAGCCATCATCTTAAATGTATCATGCTTTTACATAGGAACAGTGTTAGCATTTGGGATGGTATTCCTGGTCAAGGATTTGGCACCAGTTAAACCTTAAATAATGACCAACAGTGTTCTAAGAAGCAAAGTTACTCACCAGCAAACTATTCTATTTAAATTGAAAAACTTGTAGTCATCTAACTTTGCAACTAGGAGGGAACTTCTGATATTAGCTAGTTTAATCACAGAAACTCGTGACAGACCTAGAAAGGTGGCCTGGCTTGTTCAATACACAGTGGAAGACTTGGGGCTGGAGCCAGGCTTCCTTGACTGGAAAGCTGTATCTGTACATGCATCTGTCCATCTGTGCACCTGTCCTTTCCTTTGGCTATCTCTATGTGCACTCATTTGTTCATGTATCACAATGCATCCATGTATGTGAATGTCTGTAAGTTAGTCTGTGCATCCATCCATCTGTCCATTCACCCAGTATTTACTAAGTGTCACCTATTTGCCAGGCACTGTGCTGACATAAATGTGGTCCCAGTTTGTTAGGGGAGAAAGATAAGTAAACTTAAAATAGAGTCCCAGTGTGGTGTAAAGTGTAGATAGTACGTGTGTATTTATCCACATAATGCGATGTCTTAGCTGTCAAAAACAAAAACCAAACTCATTGCCATCAAGTCAGATCCAACTCATAGCGACCCCTCTTGGGTTTCTGAAGCAGTATCACTACGGAAATAGATTGCCCAACCTTCCTTCCAAGCAGTGGCTGGTGGGTTTGAACCCTCTGGTTAGCAGTCAAATGCCTTAGGTACTACGCCACCAGAGCTCCGTGCCTTAGGTGTAATAAATAGTACTAATACTTTAAATTATAATTTTTAGAATTTTAAGTTCTTTTGTGGAAGATGAATGAGATAGCTCAGATGTCTTAAGATATAACCAAAAAGCAAAAGAATACTGTCAGCCTTACTGTGGGGGGATTTACCTGCCCCATTCTCTGTTTTTTAGTTTAAGAATACAGCACAGAAAAGTTAGAAAACTACAAAAAGGTACCTTCCCATGATTCTGCTACCCAAAGACAACTAACATTTGAATGTCTGTTTTTCCAGTTCTTTTCTATGGATAACCCACTGCCAGTTAGTTGATTCTGACTCATGGTGACCCTACAGGACAGAGTAGAAGTGTCCTATAGGTTTCAAGGCTGTCAGTCTTTATGGAAGTACACTGTCACATTTTTTTTTTTCCCATACAGCAGTTGGTGGATTCAAACCACTGCCCTTTTTTTTAGCAGCTGAACGAGACTCTGTTACGAAAATGGAAGCACTGCTGGACATTGATCCAGACAACCGCATGACACACACCCGCATGCCCATCTTTGAATACATCATAGTTAACCGAAGAGTATCAGGTCCTGACCCAGAGGGTGTGCACTTGGAAGGCTGTGTACAGAGGTTTCCTATAGCAGACTGTGTCATCTGGGAACATTCACTGACGTATCTTTCCACAGTTAGTCACTGTTCTGTCCAGTATTCAGAGTTACAGGCAAGGACCAGTTGGTAGGATCTGCATTTGAATTTTGACCCCTTTAATCTTTCCAGGGGAGCTCTGGTAGCCTAGTGTCTAAGGCGCTTGACTGCTAACCAGAAGGCTGGCGGTTCAAACCCACTAGCCACTCCTCGGAAGGAAGATGGGGCAGTCTACTTCTGTAGTGATACCGCCCCGGAAACCCACGGAGGGGTCGCTGTGAGTCAGGGCCTTCTTGACGGAACATAACAACAATCTTTCCAGTGCTTTACCGTAGCCCTTCCTCTCTTCCAACATCAGGGGGAGCCTCGAAGGCTAAAGAAACTAACGAAAAGGCGTCGTAAGGGTTGTGAAAGGGGAGGGTGGATTTGCAGACTAATTCTCTGTCAGCCTAGGCTTTTACTAACTCAAGTCGCCTCATCTGTTCCCAGCCTGCTGCCTCCTTGAAGCACTTCCCTGTACCATTTTGGTGCAGACAACAATATCTGGATGAAAGAATAAAGTTTTAGAATTTATACTTGCAAAGTGACACATTTTTAAAAAGGACTCTAATTTTTTCTTACTGTTCTGTAGTTTGATCAAGCTGTTATCAATGGTGACTGTCATTTGAGTAAGAAAAGATTATGACATCTGCTTAATTTCATTGTGCTTTTTACTAGAAAAATCCCATTAAAATAGCATATTAATTAGTATGAATTTTTTTTTTAAAGTTTTACACAAATATTTTTTTTAAAAAAATGTTCTCATGTTTTTATTTCCAAGTGGTTACATGGAGTGGTGTATTTCCCAAGTCCCTGCATATCTAAGAATGTTTTCCAGTGGCTTTTGTATATAGAATCCTGAGTGTGTCTCTGATTCTGTAAACTTTACTCCATTGCCATCTGGTGTTTAATGTGTAGAGGCCAAGGTGATGTTCTCTTTACTTACGGCTGCTTCTTGTTGATTTAATTTAGAGGTTGACGGACATGCTCCTGTCCCCGTGACTAGGCCGTGAAGGGCTGAGTGGAGGAGACACTAGACATTAGAAGCAGAGTGTTCTGTGCAGCCTCCTCCCAAGGCTCAGAGCAGAGAGAACACAAGCCAGTCTGAAAGCTTTTTAGGGAAATTGGGACCTGGTTCCTGTGGTCCGACTTTGACCCACAAAGCAGCTGACACAAAGCTTGCCTCTTTATGCCAAGGTAAGAGATGCTGTGGACCTGCTTTTAGATTCTGATCCACTTCAGCAATTTGAGAACTGACATTAAGAAAAAATTAAGGTCTAAATAAAAGCGTATCTAAGTAGACAGGGTGTGAGAGAATAAGTTCTTGTCAGTAATTTTAAGCTGTCAAAGATCTCTTAGCTCTAAGAAGGCAAGAAAGTAATGAAGGCCTCACGACTGCTCAGTGTAAGTGGATTTCAAACAGTGCAGTGGGCTTTGGCCTTGATACTGGATGTCACCTTGCAGTTGGTGCAAACACAGGAACCTTTTGGGGTTGCACGCCTCCTTTCTACAAACGAAGTGAGTGGAGTAGAGGTAAGGCCTTTCTTTAAAGTTACACTCGTCTTTCTCTTACTCATTGGTGGAGGCTGTCATTCTAAAGACAGGAAAACCAATCAATCAGTTGTTGTTATTTATTACTGTGTACTCCCCACCCTCCAAAAACAGAGATGAGTAGGGAAATCCCATCTCTGGGTCCCTTCCAGGGTGGCTGAGGTGGCTGTCTCACACGCATAATCTGTGGTCAGTATTATGACTGCCCTGGGGCCTGTCTCTGGGGACAAGTCTGTGATTTTTCTCTTCATTTTATGGAAAAGAGCAAAGTTTGTTCACGTTACCGTCTTTGCCTATTGATTTTTTTCTCAGTTAATGAAAGGGCCTCCTAAGTGGCTACTTCCCACCGTCTGTTAAGACTTTACAATATCTTGTCACCCTCCAAAAGTTCTTAAGGGGAGTTTACCCCACAAGCAGCTTCTTTGAATACAAGCAGCCACTTTTGTAAAATCAAGATAGTAAATAAAATCGTTGGAGAGTGGTGTAAAATTAAGTCTCCACTGAAACAAGGAGTTAGGGGAAAACTGTGGGTGAAGTTTCAGTACTTTCTGAAGGTACCAGTACTAGCTAAAGTATGTACCAGCTGAAAACCTTGAGCCCACAATGATACAGTCCATTGGAATATAAAACTACAGGGTTCATTTGATTCCTCCCTCTGCTCTGGTGGTGTAGTACTTAAGACATTTGACTGCTAACTAGCAGGTTCATGGTTCAAACCCACCAGCCATTCTGCAGAAGGAAGACTGGGCAATCTACTTCCGTAAATATTTACTGCTTTGGAAACCCAAAGAACATCACTGTGAGTTGGAATTGACTTGATGGCAGTGAGTTTTTTTTTTTTTTTTTGCTTATTTGTAACTCTGGTCTGACAGTGAGAAACCTCTTTATCTTTAGTCATTTGATCATTCACCATAAAACTTGGTTCACTTAAGACAGTTCCTGCTAGAAATTAGACTTTTGCTACAAGTAGATGAGTCAGAATTGACTTGTTGGCAACGGGCTTCCTCTCTTAGTGTTAATAATGTTTCTTTTTTACCTGTCTTTGGAAGTGTACTTACTGCTCAGATTAGGCAGAGGCTAGCTTATCAGTGATTGGGCTTAGTCAGATTTTGAGGAATTTTCTCTGGGGCAGCCAGGATCTCTTATTTCAGAACAAGGCTGCAAACCAAGTATTAAACGGGAAACATCTTCCTCCCATCGTGTGACTCTATGAGTCATCCATGCAGCCTGGCAGTGGATCTATCTTTTGTTTAGAAAACAGGGTGCAATTAAATAATGAAGGGACAGGGAACATTCCAGATATGTCTCAAAAAGTCAGAGATCTTCAGTATGCGAGGAGACTGACAGGAATAAAGATTTGAGTTTGGATGAACAAATCATGTTTCCCTCCAGGTTGGAAATTTATGTAGGAGTGTATACACTGAAGCTGGACCATAATAATTTGAGAGTGGAAGTGCGGAAAAGGGTTCTGCTTTGTGTTTAGGATACGGCTGTGTCTCTATGTCAGCTGACTGCTGGACCTTGGGTAGTTCTTGGAACTTCTTTGTGCTGTCATTTTCTTATCTGTAGAACTGGAATGGTAGTCATACTTACCTCCAAGGGTTGGGAGGATTACATAGCCCTACGTGGGTTTGCTTATCCTCACAGTGTAAGAAAGGCTGAAAATACAGATAACTGCCCTAGATTATAGACCTCAAGTGGACTGATGAAAGTGTCCCATCACCTGGTGTATAGTGATTGGTTCAGGGATTAGAGATGACAGTGGCCACACTCTCAAGGAGGTACCTCTCAGTCAGAGTGCTGGGCTAAGTGGCTCACTGCTTAGGACAGAAACACAACCACAGTGTTGCTTCTTTCATTAAACTAGAAACTGCGAAGTTGTCTGTTAATTTCCAACTAAACATTCGCTTTCTTGGGTAAACATGAACTTTTAAAATGTGATGGTTCGGTTGCTCTTCAAAACACGCACATAACTCTTTTCAGAATGACATCTGAACATGAGAGAGTAGAAAAAACTGCACACGCTGGAGTGAGATGGCCTGAGTTCACACACCAGCTTTGTCAATCTCTCTCCCTGCAAAATAAAATGAAGTATAGTCCGGTCTGTGTCTTTCCAGCTCTTTGTATTCTGTGATTCTGAGGCTGGGCTTTGCAGGAATTAGGAGCCTCCCCAGGGACAGTGCTCTCATGTAGGATGAAGAACCTGAGGGGCCTAAGGGCAAGTGCGCAGCAGGTCCTCCAAGATGGAATGTGGGCACAGGGCAGAGTTGGTGGGTTCTTCGTTTTTTGGCAAGCAAAGCCTGATGTGCTTCTTCGGTGGAAGCAGCTCCTGGTTTATACGTACAGAATTGGAAAGTGCTCCTTTTGTTGTTTCACCTGACTCTCCTTTGCTTTGGTTGCACTGACTGGTCGCTGCCTGACACCCATGTTGTTACTCCTCTCCCCTACTTCTCTTGGTTCTTTTGCTGTAACCCTATTCTGACTCTCCCATTTCACACTCCAACAATGACTTGGATGACTTCACAGGCCACGCTAGTGGGGTGAGAAAGTGAACGTGTCAGGTTTTTGTATTTGTACACAATCCATTTTTATTGTCTGTTGATAGAAACAGCTGAAAGCCTCATGGATTTATCTTGGGGTACAGCTGAATACTCCCACGGAAAAACTGACTTTCACCTTTGCCCCAGAGCTGCGGCGAGCGGTGAGGAGCAGCGTGTGGAAGAGGACGATAGCCGCCCATCAGCACGAGTATGGCCCAGAAGAGCTCCTAGAGGACGACACATACCGCAAGACCTGCACCGTGTGCGGCCAGGAACTGACGTACGAGAAAATGTGACTTTCGGTTCAGGGACCTGTTTCATAGTATTTTATATTTAAATAAAGGAAATTTAGATTGAATTTAGTCAATAGCAACGCAAAGTAATTTCAGATTCTATTAAAAAAATTCACATAAATGGAGAAGTCTCTGTAGGTAAATGGAATCCTGTGTAGATCCTGCTTTGGTGGTATGTAGGCATGTTGTAGCCTAAGGACACGTTTCAGTTAAAGCCCAGTGGGCCCAGCTGTGGGCAGCACACTGAGTCTGGGACTGCTGTTCCCAGTATGGTGAGGAGCTGAGAGGTAGAGCAGGTTCCAGAGTGGGAGATGAGACATGGATTGAGGGAGTAAGAGACCAGTGCAGACCCCAATCTGTGAGACTAGGAGGAAGAGCTTTGACTAAAGGCAAGAGCTGATGGACTTGGACTCCTGTCTCCAAAAACCAAACAGGGATGTTGGGTGTGGTGGTTGTTTGTGTGTCAACTTGGCTGGGCCTGCTTGAGTGGCTGGGCAGCTGGTGGTAGTATTCCCCATGAGGAGACTGGCGATCAGCTCCATGGTGGGATCTACCACAAGCAGCTGAGTAGCTGCCTTTGGGATGTGGTCTGCTTTCTGTATATAAGCCGAAGCCTTTGGAATGGTCTCTAGTTTATGGCACACTTGGACCCTGCACGTAGCCGTGTCGTTGTTCAGCAGCCTGCCGTGTGATTTGGTAACATTGGGACTGTGCCTATTTACTTGTCAGCCTTGGGCTTGGCAGCCTCAGCAGCCAGCAGCTGTCTGAGTGAAGAAATGCCTCTGGCTCCAGTGGGCTGGGAGCTGGAGGCAGAGCTGAAGCCCAAGGCTGAGGGCCTTTCACCCAGCCCCTAGAGCTTGGCACTTTGAACTCATACTTAAAGCCTCCAAACTGTAAAAGAATAAACTGTTTTTAAGGCCATCCCATTTGTGGTATATTCTTGTCAGAGCGGCACTAGGGAACCAGAACAGTGGATATCCCTGCCCCTCAGAGGCTGGGTCAGGTCTTCTGGGGTCTATTTCCACTATTATGGAGGAAGTAGGGGGCTACTGCTGGGAAAAGTCATGACCAATAGCCAGAACAAAAAATAAGGTGCGAGAGTCTGGCTTTGTGTTCAAACATCAGTGTCTGGGCAGCCCTTTTCAAATGCTGGATTCAATGGAAAAACGGCTATTATCAAGCCTATCTTCTTACCGACCACAGAAAGTACTGATGAGTTAATCAAAACTGCAGCTGACGTTTACTGAGACTGACTGACCACAAGCCAGGCAAAAACCCTGTGTGACGTGCTTCCCAGCTGTCCTGATGCAGTCCTGAGAAACTACATCACATCACTCCAGGTGTCTGGGTCCAGCGAGGCTGATCATGTTTTCCCGTATCTTGTAAAGAGAATTACAAAGTAGTTACAGCTAGTAAGAGGATTTTATCCCATGTGCTTGACTATAGGGCCTATACTCTTTTTTTCTTTTTCCTGGACAAAAATTCAAGGTAAGATACTGTGGCATTTAAGTTTGTGTGTCAACTCGGCTAGGCCTGGTTGAGTGGCTGGGCAGCTGAATGTAGTTGTAGTTATTCCCTATGGTGAGACTGGTAATTAACTCCATGGTGGAATCTGTTGGAGCAGCCGAGTAGCTGCTTTGTGTATGCAGTCCGCTTTCCATATGTAAGTAGCAGCTTTGGGAGTGGTCTCTAGCTTATGGCACAGTTGAACCCTGCATGTAGCCATGTTGTTCAGCAGCCTGCCATGATCTGCCAGCCTTGGGACTTACAATGGACTTGAATCAATGGCCTGCTGTGTGGTTTGGTAACATTGGGACTGTGCCTTTTTACTTGTCAGCCTTGAGTTTGTCAGTCTCAGCAGCCTGCAGCTGTCTGAGTGAAGAAAAGCCTCTAGCTCCAGTGAGCCGGGAGCAGGAGGCAGAGTGGAACCCCAAGGTTGAGGGGCTTTCACACAGCCCCTAGAGCTAGGCACTTTGAACTTGGACTTAAAGCCTCTGTATTTTAAGAATAAAATCCTGTTTGTTAAGGTCATCCCATTTGTGGTCTATTCCTGTTAGAGTGGTACTAGGTAACCAGAAAATACAAGAGTATTTTTTAAGTCATTCTTGACTACAACTCTTGACCCTACTGCTACAAATAGATGAAACGGGATGTTTATACAGTTTTATCTTCCAGCCAGCTGTTGGAGATTTCTGGAGAAAGGTAAAAGTCAGACTAAGTCAAACTAGAACAGCTGTTTTGAGACTACCCTCCCTCAGTGTGGGTGTTCAGTGCAGAAACGGTTCATACGTTTCTCAAGTCCTAAATAGGCAGTGAAACTTCCCAGGGACAAAAAAGGCTTCCAGCTTGATGACAGAGTAACTAGGGGTCCGGACTGCTGACAACAGCACTACTGCACTGTGGGAGAGGCGCTCTCGTGCCAGATGGACTTAAGATCAAACTCCACTTACTGGCTATGGACCATGGGCACGTTACACTAGGGGTCTGTCTGCATCTGTCAGGTGGGTAGGACTACTGTGAGGATTAAACATGGTGAAGGTGCAGCACCTGGTAGGTAATAGCCATCAGGTACTGAGCACCTAGGAACAGCAAGACGGAGCCACCTGCATTTTTGTCCAGCTGAGGTCAGTTTCTGTTTAAGTCTGGCCTTCATGAATTCTTGACAGCCCTGCTAGCCAGAGAGCACGGACAGCCCAACCTGCTCTGCCCAGGTTCACAAGGTCTTTTGTGTAAGGCATCATCACAAATGAGAAAACTATGTACATCACGGCTACATTTTCCTCAGGAAAAGAAACAAAAGCTTATCTTCATTTGAAGCACTGTGGATAATTCCCGGCGGGAGATGTGCAATCATGGAAAACAGTTTACATGTGCTTCATCAACAGCACGTGAAATGGCATCAGTATGTTGAACAGAATATTGACTGACTGCAAGGTGTGGCGTGGCATGACGTGCCACCCTTGTGTCTGTGCAAGCTTCACCACAGGGGAGCCTAACTGTTCAAAGCATGCTCTTACACCTTTATTTCTTCAAAATTCGATCCCTATTTCAGGTTTTCCATGGGTAAAGGCTGAGACTGTGACAGAGCAGGTCACGTTAGTGAACAGCTATTAGAGAAGACCATATACATGAACAGAGGATCCAAGAAAAAAACGAAATGAAACTTAACACATCCCTCTAGCATCTGGATCAAGTAGAACTAGCCATACTTTGCAATACATGGTGAAAGGATTACAGAGCAGTTAGGCTCAAATAAAAGGTGCCAAGGCCTTAACGGGTTATCCCTTGGTTCCTTCAGAACAGGAGCCATTTCTAACTAACCACATAGCTTGTGCTGTGCTTAAGCAATGGGAAGGCAGGACATACAAACAACATTTAAGCAGGAATCTGGGTTTTAGTTACATTTCTGCTAGTAACCTACCATAGAATCTTCATCCTGTGAATAAATATTTCTCGTCTTAGATTGTATGGTATTTAAAAATCTTAGCAATTCCCATCTACAGAGTGGATTATATTCTGTAGCCATCAAATGTTTGTAAAACAGAAGGACTGCTCATAAAAAAATGCCTAATGTATCATAAGCTTACGAAGTATCAAGTAAAGAGGATGCCTATACTGGAAGGACACAAAGATACTACCAGGAGTTGGGTTATTGTAAAGGTTCTCCAAGGCTTAAGGAAATAAGTCTAAAAATCCTAGAAATTTGGAATGTCAGATAGTCCCTTATATATTATTTTACAAAACACTTCATATTTACTATCTTATTTGAGCTTCAAAACCATATAGGAACTAGTAGTTGCTTGGACCAGATTTCAAAGAAGCAAAATTCAAATCCACATCCTATTCCAAGTTGTTTCCGCCAGTTCCACTTCAACCTGTAACCCACTCTACAGCCTTCAGGGGCTAGAGGGCACCCCTGGGTGCTTTAAGATCGCGGCTTCCAAACTCGCCTGGCATTTTGGGGAGCATGAAGAAATGTCTGCAGAGATTGTGGTTTAATTTTTAAAACAATTCTAGAAGACTGCCAGGCAATTATTACAAATACTACAATTATTAATTGTAATATTCAGACAAAATTTAGGAACCACTGCTCTTAAGTGGTAGGAACTGTATATACTAAAAAGTGTCTTAAAATACCACTTACAAGTATTTTGAAGAGAAAATTTCAAGTGCAGGTAAGTACATCTTCGGTAAGCAATCACTAATTTTAAAGGAGACTGAGATGATAAATCATTGAATACTAAAGTTTAAAAACATACTTTTATTCAGCCACGTTAGGTTATCTAGGAGCTGTGAAGAGCTATGCTACTTGGTAAGAAACCTGTCAGCTCTATGTACGACTGTAAGCATGACCTCAATGTTTCACATACTGCAAATCAGTTTGTTTATTCCTTGAGGAGAAAAAAATACCAAATTAATCACAGAAAAGTTGTATCTGTCACATGTAAGACATCCGTGGTCAGCGTCCCATTATTGTCATTAGGAAATCTTTTAGGGACAATTAAAGGTAATCCATTTCATGTTCCTCACTGTACTCCTCCCCCTTTGTTTCCTTTAATAAGTGAAAGGATACTACAAGAAAGCAAACATTCAAACCATCCAAAAGAAGACAAATGATTTTAAGATATTTTAAAAAAACCTTGACAAGAAGGAAAACATAACCCTTAGGCCTGCAGGGCACAGAACTGCTGGAAAACAGCCAGGATGTGAGGGTCTAATTCGGCAGTGAAGAGCAGGTTCTCCAAGGTCACCATGTACTGCTGGATTATTTGGTGATGCTGTGGACAAAGAAAAGGGCTGGTCAGATCAGGGGGACAAGTACAGAGTGACTGCAGATCAGCTTCCTCAGCAGGAAAAGAAAGAAATACTGGTTCACGCTCATGGAAGTAAAAAGCCCCAAAACACTAACATTAAGACAATGGAGATGCTGAGGAAAACGGTTGCTCAAAAACATTAATAAAAATCCAGTTCTAACTGACTCCCACATAAACACAGACCACTACTGGAGACAGTGGGCCAGGAGCTACTGCTCCCGCGTAGACACAGACCACGACTCCAGACAGTGGGCCAGGTGCTACTGCTCCCGTGTAAACACAGACCCTGACTGGAGACAGTGGGCAAGGTGCTACTGCTCCTGCGTAAACACAGACACCATGACTCCAGACACCAGACCAGGTGCTGCTCGTTCTACTCTTACAGACTAGGTTCAGCTATTCCTGCCCCAACCAGGGAGGACATAACACAGTATGATGTCTTTCAAGCCCCAGGTGGCAGAAACTGACCCAGGAAGACTGACAATGACAACAAAGGCAGTATATGTTACAAACAGGAAGAGCACGGTTGCTGTGGTTGAGGTAAAACCATGGTCTGTGAAATGTAAAGAAAAGTGGTGTAGAAACACCCCTTCCCCCTTTTAGAGCCTTAAGACAGCTCTTTGCAAAAGAAACAATGAACTGGCTAATCCTCTTAAATATTCTGTGAAACAAGAAACCCAAATCTTGGTTTGTTTTTTAAATAAATAACCCATCTGTCTTACTGAAAACCTGCTGAGCCCGAGTGGCCGGCAGCAGCCTGGCCCCACGCCCTCAGAGACCCTGGCAATGATTGCGGGGAGAGAATCCCTATCCAGAGGCTAATGGTCGCTCTACGTCTTTTCTTCTTTAATGATTCTGCTTTTGCCATTTTTCCAGGCCAAATGAAGACTTTTGGGTTAGTGTCTGAAGACAAAGAATTGGTCTCATTCTCCTGCAAATCTTGAACTTAAATCTAGCAGGGGTAGGACCTGCCATTTGTTTTTGTATAAAGACCTCAGGACACTTACCACACTTCTGGGGCACAGCTTCCTGTCTGAATAACCAAGTTCAAGGCCTTTTATGAATGCAACTTCTATCCCTGTAACATTTTCTTCTTTACATTTTGTATGACAGATAAGTTCTTCAGGCCAGTAAAGGACCACCAGGAGCCTCAGTGCTACAGAGCCTACTAAGTGCGCATACTCTGAGGAGGTCCAGTGCGGGCAAATGGGCAGGAACCGGAAGGGGTCACAGGGACTGTGTAAAGCCTGGTAAATCTGCCCGGGAGTTTTTAACGGAAGCGCTCTGCAGCTGAGAAGGGCCGTTTCGCACACACCTGTAAGAAGATCTGCTGAAGCCTCTCTGTACAGTTCTTGTACCACGGTGTGAGTGCACTGGTCCCCTCGGTTTCACATCGTACTAAGTGTTCTGTCAAGATCATGATAAAACGCTGGAAGGGGCAACAAGGCGGAAGAAGTGTTAGAGCGAGAAATCTCGAGAGGCAGCTCTGCTCAAGCAGAGGGACCTCGGGTCTGCACCCCGTCTCTGTGACTGGTATTCCTAACTTCCCTAATTCATTAAACACTGTCAGCCCAGAAAGGCAGGCAGTGACAGGGCGAGTCGCTACATCCTTTCTGGCAATACATAGACGCTTAATGTCTAAATTACTTATCCTAGTAATTCTCCTTCTTGGCATTTATTCCCCGTAAATAATACAGAATGTGAGCAGGAATCTACGCCAGAGATGTTCACTGGAAAGGCAAACAATCATGGGGATGCTCAACAACAGGGATACGTCTGAGAAAAACACATTCAAACCCACTGATTTAAAGCCTGGAGAAACGTCATGCAGGAAAAAGCCAAGGAGACGACAGTGAATTCAAAAGCATCCATGGCTACTACCAAGGGATGAATTCTTGGCGGGGGGCACTTTAATGCCGTGTGTGTGTGTGTGTGTGTGTGTGTAGTATTTTAAAACTCTTCTATAAGTGAGTGTGGATTACTTTTATTAAGAAAAATAACATATTTTAAAACTAAAGATAGTTTTATATGTTAACGTCCCAGCCAAGACACCTGAAATATGACGAGGAAGAGGTTCTTCTGTTCGCTCTGAGCCGATTCCACTTTCTCCTGCAGCCTTTCTATCTGCTCCTCAAGAGCCCCGTCTTTCCTGTCACTGCCTCTGTCATCGTCATCACTTCGCTACAGACACAAAGGAACAACAGGAAACATCACTTCGAGTCCAAAGTATTAAATCCTATCAAATCAGGAAATTATTGTCCAGTTAGGTGCTATTTACAGTTGTATTCTATATACAAGTACAAACTTCACTGGAATGAAAGTATCTCCCCACTCCCCATACCTTAAAGTCCTACTGTGGTTTCAGACAGTCTTCTCACTCATAAGTTCAATAAGGCATTTGACTGCTAACCAGAAGGCTGGCGGTTCAAACCCACCAGCCACTCCTTGGAAGGAAGACTGGGCAATCTACTTCTGTAGAGATACCACCTCGGAAACCCAAGGAGGGGTTGCTCTGAGTCGGATGTGACTCGATGGCAGTGATTTTTTTTTTTTTCCCAGAGTATTTATCAGAGTCCCTAGGGGGTGCAAGTGGTTAAGTGCCTGACTCCTAACTGAAAAGACTGGTTCGAACCCACCCAGGAGCACCTCAAAAGACAGGCCTGGCAACCAGCTTCCCAAAGGCTACAGCCTCACAAACACTACGGAGCGGCTCTACTCTGAAATACATGAGGCCGCCATGACTCAGAACTGACTCGAGCAATCAGCAACAGTAGCAGTCAAGGATATGTAGTCCTACCTCAGGGAGGAAAAAGGGCCACACTTCCCCTGTATTCAAAATGAAAACAGCTTTGGGACCCAACTCACTGACCGTTGAGTCAATTGACTCATAGAGACTCCTCCTTGGGTTTCCAAGGCAGTAAATCTTTTTTTTTTTTTTTAAATAATTTTATTTATTTTTTTTGTTGAGAACATACACAGCAAAATATACAGCAACGCAGCGGTTTCTCCATGTACCATTTAGTGACGCTGACTGGATTCGAATCACGTAACCCTTCTCACCCTCCTTTAACAGCAACTCACTGCCCCTCATTCCTCAGTTTTGTGTTGCTGATGTCAATTGGATCCCTCGCTGACAGTCCTCAGGAGAGCACAGTGCTCAAGGCAGCCCTGCTTTACCAGTTAAGCTGAACTACTGCTTGGTTTTAGAAAGACTTCAGGGGATATTCTGGCTTAAGACTTAAAGAGTATCTCAGGGCAACAGCTTCAGGGGCTACGGAGCTCTTGTGACTCCAGGAAGGCTGGAGGCCATAACAATTTGAAATTCTGTTCTGCATCTTCCCTTCTGATCAGGCTTCTGCTATGGAATCTTTGATCAAAATGTTCTGTAATGGTAGCCAGGTACCTTCTATAGTTCTGGTCTCCTGGCAAAGGAAGCAGTTATTCATGGAGCCAATTGCACATTCCGTATCACATCCTCCTCCTGTTCCTGACTCTCCTCTTTCTCTGGAAAACCATATATTCTTTGAACTGTACCATTCTTCATTCATCAAAGTAAATGACCCATGAAAACCCTGACAGTGCTCTTCATTCACTGACAGTATCACTGTCTGCCCACAAGAACAGCAGGGAGGCAGCTTGCTAGGAGAACAGGCCATATGGCTAACCTTGTGGGCAGGGCCACAGTCTGCTCATCCTTATAATTCAGAAATGGCTGTGACTGGCCTGTAACAATTCAAAACAGACTGGTCGAGACACTGCTGGCCATGATGCGCTCAATGGACCTCTGCAAAGCGCCAGGAGTTCCCTCCCTGCCCACCCTGCAGTTCATAGCCTCAGCTTAGATCTTAGTTTTTAAAGTAGCCGAAAACAAGATGCACATCAGTTCATTCACCTTCAGAGGAAGGGACAGGACGAGCTGGACCGGACGACTCTGGCCACATCTCGCAGCCAGAGGCGGGCAGAGCCACAGCCCAGCTCCAGGCAGGGTGTGCACCAAGGCCCTTCCGGCAAGGAGGTGGGCCTCACAGAACCCGGAAAGCCTGGCAATGCCCCCGGCAACAGCTACTGGGCAGCCTTCATCTATAACAGCCCACGCCACCCTTAAGCAAAATTTTAATAATCTGTTTTCACAGAACCTGCTTTTATCTGTGGCGCGGCACTGCGAGGGAGCCTGCCTTCTGTTCTAGGAAGCTGAGTGCACACTGGCTTTTCCCAGCAGCACGCCTGGGCATCCCTGCAGAGCAGCGCGGTCCAAGGCCATCTCTGTGAGGGTCCGTCTGCCGCCACAGCAGCTCCAGCCACACGTGGCTGCTGCAAACTGAAAAAGTGGCTCAAGTGATGTGTATCTCATTTTAATTAACTTGTATTTAAACAGTCACGTGTGGCTACTGACCACCACACTGGGCCACATGGTTCTTAAGAACAGTGCGGCATGGTGGAAAGTCACCGGGATTTGACAAGACCTGGCCAGATCCCAGCTGTCACTTGCTATGTAACCTTGAGCAAGTTACTTCACTGCTCTCGGCCTCAGTTTACACATCTATAAAAGAAGGGTGGAATTTACCTCGCAGTGTTTTAGGTCTGTGTGTATATTTATGTATCTACATGTATATGACATACATACACTGTAAATATATGTCTATATGGAGCCTGGCACTTGGAACTTGGTAGCCAAATGCCTTACCCAGTTTGCTATCAGAGCACCTCCTGAACTTGTAAAGGTTCAAAGAAATCATTAAATTGTTTCTTTTCCCCTCTCATCTTCTGCTCTGGTAAACACTGTGTAAATAACACTGGACAAGACTGTCGACAAATACCCCTACTATCCTGCTGAATTGCACTGCACCCATCACTGCTTTCTCCAGACGTGGCTAAGAGATGAGCAGCTGAAGTGCTCTGTAAGGCTGGAAAGCCTGCCCCGTCCTACCTCTCAGTACCCAGGACGTGCCTACAACCTCACCCTCTTCCCCTTTACCAGAAACTCTCAGAGAAATACATGCCCGCTCTTTCCTTCTCCTTCCCCTGCAGTGGGACAAACGTGAGGCGGAGCTGGAAGTGTGAACTAAGGAAATCTTCCTAAACAGGTTCACCGTGCAGCGTGACAGCAACAGTCTACCAATCCTCCTTCCTTCGCCTCCACTGCTTCCAACAGCTCTGCTTAATCCAGGCTCAGGACAATCAAGGACACATCAAGGTGATGGACTTGGCTATTCTCAAGTTTCTGGTATACCTTCTCCAACAGGCAAATCACAACAAGCCCAGGACTCACCCGTTTGTGCTGCCTCGCCAGCTTCTCCTTAGCTTCTTCCAGCTCTTTCTGGATCTTCAGAACATGTTTGCTCATCTTACGAATCGTGGAGTGCAAGATTTCCCAAACAAACAATCTTAAAGTAATACGGCATTTGGTTACTGTCTGTGAAAGTTAGTTATGCTTACAGATAATAAAGCCTCTTAACTGTTCCAGCCTCCTCTGTAGGGTCTCCACTAGCCTTTCACCCTCTGGGCAGCATCAGAGTATTCTTCAGCAGTACCAGGGCTTCCTTGTCAACGGAGCCAGCGTCTCTGCCCAGGAGACTCGTGTGAGCTCTCGGGGGGCACCACGGCGTCCTTTCATCTCCCTCACCCTTTCTACTCCTACATGTACATCTAGTGTAAAGGTGCAGGGACATGTTTATGGAAATGGCAAACCATAATCAACACCAACGTTACAAACACAAACACATTTTCTCTTTCTAAATTTAAACATTTAGAAGTGTCTGGATTTTCTCAAAATGGCAACCACTAACCTGAGGATCACTTCTCCTGCTTTAGAATGAAACTAGCACACACTCAGTCAATTGTCTTGGAACCTTTAAGAAAGGCACTAGCTGATAGCTGTCAACTGATGGATGTTAATCATGAAGTAATTATTCATGTCACTTGTATTAAGCAAAATGCTCAAATACCAGGAGCACCTTGTACATGCTCTATGGTGTTTGTTGTACAAGCGTTCTATTTTTTTTAAAGTAGCTTCGTAGCTACTTTTATATTGACAAACAAGCAGCCAAATGCCCCAGGATATGGCAGAGGACTTCTACAAATTTTGACATGGATGACATTAATTTTAAATGGGAAATAAGGCAATCTGTTAAAAAACAACCCCATCGAAGTGTGGACTGCTGGTAGACAACACAAGAGTAGAGCATTCTGACTGTAGAAGGGGCAGCAAGGGAAAGCTTTATAGAGCTGGAGATATTTAAGGTAGGTGTCAAGGAATGGGGAGTTCTTTGAGCAATGTGTCTGTTCAAGAAAGCCTGGGTTTGATTCCTACTTCTGCCACTTGTCTGTGGGACTTTTACCGAGCTAATTAAACACTCTGACATATTCCTGTTCCATAAAATGAGGACAATAATGGAACCCAGTCTATAGGGTCACTGTGAGGATGAAGAGTTGAAAATGTAAACCACTCAGAACAATGGATGGCCCTTCCAGCCAGTCCTTGTAACTCCAACCAAATACCTGTGTGCACTACACAAAGGTGAGGTGCTTACAGCCCACCAAGGGCACTGGACAGCTCAGTAATAATGTAAATCAAGCGCATGGTACCCTTGTGAGGATGAGACCATGGAAATAAGGTATATGGAACCCTAATGTGGGATTGGTCGGTTCTGACATCCCACTAGATTTTAAAGTGAGCCATCCCAGAGGTGGTGGTGGTGGCAGGAGGGGATCTCACTACCATCAGGAAAGAAGAGCCAGGACTGGAGTGCATCCTTCGGACTTGAGCTCCCTGCACTGAACCTCCTGCATCCAGGAGCCAACGAGCGCTGTGCCAACAGAGATGGCAAGCAGCAGCAGCAGCGGGGACACGGCGGCAGCAGAACCAAGAGCCTGGTAGAGGCAGAGCGATGGCCTCCCGGCCCGTGGAGAAAGAGCCCAGTGCCTCTGGGTAGGAGGCTTGCTGGTGGAGCTGGGGGTTTCTCTGGACACCTACTGGTAGATCTGAAAGAGCTCTGTGACACTTGCAGAGTAGCGTAAGGCCAACGGGTGGCAGGGCCAAGAGGCTGAGGCTAGAGAGAAGCACGCCTGCGCCACGGCTGAGGGGAGGCTGTCCTGATCAAAGGACTGTACCCTGGGCATTTCTGCTCCTGTACTGTAACTTACTTCCCTAATAAAATCCATGACTGTGCGCTTTGTTTTGAGTTCTGCATAGTCACTTCAGTGACTTGCTGAACCCAGCAGAGCAGTGCTGAGGGAGGGACAGGTGGTGTGAGAATGGGAAAAAGGCTGGAGGGTGCGGGCGTGACTCATGTCAGCCTCAGGCTGATCTCGAGCCTCCTCCCCACTGCGACGTCAGGACGTCAGAGATCCGTCTTACAATGGCTAACACATTCTGGTGGTCAGTTTCCTGAGAGTGCAACAACCTGGGAGTATCTCTGTGCTGCCTCCATTTATGAATGCCAACCCGGCTGGACACGCTGTTCCACCCCAGGGACACTGTTCTGGTTCTCTAGTGCCGCTTGGACAGGACTATCCCACAAATGGGTGGCTGAGCAAACTGGAGTTTATTCTCACAGTTTAGGAGGCTAGAAGTCCGAGTTCACAGCACCAGCTCTGGGGACTAGATGAAAGCCCCTCAACCTTGGGCTTCAGCTCTGCCTCTTGCTCCTAGATCACTGAGCTGGAGGCTTCTCTTAACTCAGACAGCTGGCTGCTGAAGCTGATGAATCCAAGGTCAACAAATAAATTGCCACAATCCCAAGATCACCAAACAACAAGGCAGGTTGCTGAATGAAGACTCAGCTACATACAGGGTCCAAGTGTGCCAAAAAGCTGCAAAGACCTTCCTCAAAGCTGCTTCTTATATACTGGGAACAGACCACACCCCTAAGGCAGCTGCTCCCGTAGCTTCCACCATGGAGTTGTTTACCAGTCCCTTCCTAGGGGATAACGACATCCAGGTGCCTAGCCACTCCAAACCAGGCCCAGCCAAGTTGACACATAACTTAACTACTACCACAGACCTCTTTCGGACCAGTGTCCTCTAGCAGCGACAGAGAAGTTAGAGGCTGTGATGGTTTTTATGTCTTTACAAGTAATTTGCTTTTTTGTGTCTTGTTTGGTGGCCACTCCTGCTGCCCCAGTCCTGATGGATTATAAAGCTTGTGGACTCAAATTCACCAGTAAGAACCAAGTTGGTGAAAAGTCTCTTTCCTTTACGTCTAACTACTTTCTGCATCAATTCTAGGATTTTTATGAGTGATGTGAGAGCTGCAAGATGTGCCCCTGATTACAACGGTAGTTTCTCTCCCAGCTCCCAGTGTGCATTTCAGGTTCCCAATGGAGCTGGAACCCCTCTGTGAATCTCCGTTTGGTCTGGCTGAGGTTCTCATGCACCCTGTCTCTTGCTGGACTCCTCTCTCAATACTCTGGATCCTCCATCAGCATTCCTACCCAAATGGGTGGGTCCTGATTCGAATTGTGTGTGTGTTCCCAAGAGCCACTGTAGCTCGCCTGGTCTATTTCCATTGTCTAGGAATCTCTGCCAAGTCCAATCCTACCGGATCGAACCCTTAGCATATTAATATACCCTTGGTTTGGACCAGAATCTGGAGCTCTTGACTAAGAGATTACACATAAACCAGTTCTTTGAATCCATATTACCTAGTGAAATCACGAGAGAGCTCAGAAGAGAAGATCCAATTGGCTACTGCAGCACAGTCAACAATCTGTGTCCGGATCATCTTGTCCACAAGGACCGCAATCATCTGCAGCGACAGAGCATCATTAGGGTGAACGATACACGCAGCTCACAACACAACTGCTGAGAAATCAAACAGGAAAGCTAGAAAACTGACTCTCAGTGGCGACGGGATGAATGTGACTGCCAGCTGAAGACGGACTCCTCGTGCTTGGCTTTGGTAACATAAGAGACACCACAGTGTCAATAAAGACTGAGCGCACAACAAGAAAAACGTCAAGCGGTAACAGTTAATAATACCCACTACAAAAACGTAATTCCCATGGAATCCCCAAAATTAAAAATACAAGACATAAAACAGTCTTAAATATGTTCTAATGTTTTAATGCCTCTCTCTAACACGGCAATAATACTGAGATGTGAGAAGTGTGAAGCTTGTTTGTAGAAACTGGTTAGACTCGGTAACCACTTTCCATCCAGCAGGCACAACTGTATGAGCAATAAGCACTCTAAGTAAACATGTACAACGTGTTGAGCTGTTAAGAGTCCAAAATCAAATCACAGCATTTGCTCTCTGAAGAGTGAACTGAATATCGCTGCTTTCACGGCACTAAAGAAACTCCAGATTTAAAACCATTTTGTAGACACAGAGTCAAATTTCATGTTTTACAAACTAAAACAAAGGTAACTAACCAGCTTATTTTACCAGGCACACAGCAACTGTTTTTACCTGTGGATGGTTCCTCCAGACCTCAAACATGACTCTCAGGACATGCAACTTTCCCTCATCACTTTCAGCTAGCGTTTTGAAGACTTCATGAAACCTTTTGATAATGGGAAAAAATTTAACCACATATATATAATTCAGACATAATTCAACGAACATTTAAATAATTTTTTCAAAGCCTTTTTGAGTACAAACACAAAATGAAATATTTAACTGTTAAGGATGTAAAAGGTACAATTAGGAATTCAGTTTTTATGGAACCCGTCACAAAGCCTTAGAGATTTACAATATACTACTATTAGCCCAACGGTGCACTAGTGGAGCTGTGCATAAGACATTTGGCTGCTAACCAGAAGGTCAGTGGTTCGAACCCACCAGCTGCTCTGCAGGAAGATGAGGCAATTGACTTCCATAAAAATTTACAGCTTTGCTGAAAGATCAGGTATGTCTAGGCAGGGTGCAGCGTGCCCGTGACCATGTATAGGGTTAGCAGACAGTGTTTCTACATTGTATGTATGGTAGAGCTGACAATGGCCAAGCTTGTGGTAGCTTCCCGGCCACAGCCACCTACCCAGAGGGAGCGAGTGCTAGACTTGTGGGCTTGGGGCCACGGTCACAGGGGACATCAAACTCAACTGGCATAACATACTACACAAAAACAATGTTTCACATCCTACTTTGGTGAGTAGTGACTGGGATCTTAGAAGTTTGCAAGCAGCCATCTAGATACAACGATAGGTCTCTCCTCATCCAGAGCAAAGAAGAATGAAGAAAACCAAGGATGCATGGAAACAATTAGTCCAAGGAACTGGTACACAGTGTGATCCTCAGCCTATATGACCATGAGACCAGTAGAACGGTAGAACTAGAAGGTGCCTGGCTACCACTGTCAACCACTCGGAGGGAAATCTATGTAGGAGATCCTGGGTGGAGTGGGAGAATAATGTAGAACAAAACTCAAAATCATAAAAAAAACCAAACCAGGTTTGCTGGTCTGATAGAGCCTGGTGAGACCCCTGAGACTATGGCCCCTACCTACCTTTCAGGTCTGAAACTGAACTCACTTCTTTGGCTTCCAGTCCAACAATAGACAGGCATATGGAGTGAACATTTACATCAGGCTCTATCTGGAATCCAAGGGTTCCAGACTCCTTGGAGTGATCAATCATGGGAGAACAGAAGGGTGGTGTTTGCACAGGGAGACAGCTCAGGGGGGCAGGAGTGCATGGGAGTGAAGGACACAGGGAAAGGGTAACTATGAGGAGGAAATGGGAAGAGAGCTGTTACACTGTGGGGAACTGCAGCCAATGTCATGAGATAAAATGTGTATGAACTGCTGTATGGAAAATGAATTTGATCTGCAAAGTTTCACCCAAATCACAATAAAAATTAAAACAAAAATAATTTACAGTCTTGGAAACCTAATGGGGGCTGCTATGAGTTGGAACCAACTTGGTAGCAGGTACTGTTACCCCAAGGAGCCCTGGTGGCATAGTGGTTAAGCACTTGAATGATAATCAGAAGGCTGATGGTTCAAACCCACTAACTGCTCCATGGAGAAAGGGGAAGCAGTCTACTTCCATCATGACTTACAGCCTTGGAAATCCTATGGGATACTTCTCCTCTGTCCTATAGGGTCACTATGAGTCGGCTTTGACTTGACGGCAACAGGTATTGGTGGCCTACGACTACAGTTTACTAAACTCGTATCTAACAGGTAAGGGCTCAGGAACCACCCTGAACACTGGTGACATATTCTGACTGCACCTTCTGTGAGAACCCTGCATGCAGCACAAGGCACTGGGAGCTGGACGGGGAGGAGCCCAGTGTCTCTGCCCGGCTGGGAGAATACACGCTTTCATTTTCCAAAGCCTGTCTGACAGGTCAGGAAGCTCTGCCTTTAGAAGCCAACCTTCGGGTGGTTCCCCAAAATGTCATCTCCTCTCATTTCTCATTTTCTTGAGGAAGATGCTTAGAGGGGGTGAGAGCTTCTAACTGCATATGTGACCATCTTGAGTACCTAGGTCTTTAACTAGTTTCTCTAAAGGTCTGTGTGAAAGAATGTACGTATATACGTAAACAAGTATGTAGGTAAACACGGACAGACTGGTAACAGATCTGGGACAGGGATTTTAGTTACTACAAACCAAAGTCCAATCTAGCATATGACAATGCTACTACCACCAAGATCATATTCAACAATTTTAGTAAAATTTACTGCAGCACTGGTATTCGGCAAGCCAAGGCCCAAGCCCTCAACAAAGGCTGTGTTCTTGCCATACTTACTTTGCAAGAGCGCTGAAGGAGTGGCTGAACGATTTGGCTGCCAAGTGCAGGAGAGTTTGTACAAAGACTTCTATTTTCAATGGATTAAAACTGAATCCTTCATCTGAAAAGGAACCCCCAATAAGAAAAGCTTAAGTATAGAAATTCTTTGTTGCCTCATCTGGTATAGTAACCAGACAGCTGTTCACATCCAAACACTAAGCCAAACATTTGTGTAACTTCCACAGGTACTAAGAGACAACAAAAAACCATCACTGATTTCAAAGTGGCAAAATCAAAAACGAAGCAGACCACGTTTTTATGCAAATCCCTGCACAGTATACTGTTTTCTGCAAACCTGACACATTAGCTTCCTATGACCATGATGTTGCTATGTACAAAAAAAAAAAGGTAATCTTAATGTTTAGTTCTTTGTTTTCCTGAATTTTTTACATGATCCACTAAGAAAAATAATGCCACACGGACTTCTTTCATGTTCTGTCTATATGATAGCAAGATGACAAAATAAATAAAATACAGCAAACACTGAACACTTTAAATCCATGCCCTGAGATGTCTAAGAATACAAGTGACTTTATTACCATGTTTTGATTGATGCTTTTTAATATTTTTTCTAGTATCACATTCCAGTTTCTTAGGGAAATATCAAATTCTCAATAAACATCCAAAGACCATTATTGTTTGATTTTGATCTAGAGTTATTTTTTATGTGCATGTGCACCGCCTCCCCACTCTTTTTCCTCAAATGGTCTCCCAGTTGTCCCGCAGACTTTCCATCTGTTCCACTGATGTGTCTCTTCTCTGTACAGGACCGTGATGCTTTAGTTACTGTACTTTTCACAACATGCTTAATCCGTGATAAAACAAGTCCCTCTCTCATCACTTTTTTCTCACCCATTTACTGATTCAGATAAACTTTTAATTATTTTGTGAATCTTCCCACCATACCCAGAGAAAAAAAACCAAAAACAAAAACTAGAATTTTGGTTTGACTTACATGGTACATACGCAGTAAATGTTAACTACTATAATACTTTAATTTGGAGGAAACACACAACGTGTAAAAAAAATACTTCAAGTCTTCCCATTAGGAGCCTCTTTATGGTGAAAGTACAGAATGTTTCAAAACCACTGAATGACAGTGGTATATTTTCCTATATATTCAGGATGTAATTTATATTCTTAACAGAAACTACTTCACAGGAATGTCTGGGTCTCTTTTTACATAAGGGAGGACATACACGGATTCCAGCAACAAGTGATGAGCTGACTAGGCCAAACTCATACAATACTTCACGCGCATTCCATGGGATTTAAGTAGAACTCACACTGCCACATTTAAGTTTACGTGGCCTGTACCAGTTCCACTCAATGTCTAATTCCCTTACCGTCATCGTCATCCTGGTTAGGATTTGGTACGTCTTTCAGAATGCTGAAGATTTCATCATTGGTCGCCTTACTTTTAAAGGCAACAGATAAACAGAGGGCAACGGAGTGTCCAGGAAGAGAGTCTGAACAAAGAGGGGGGCAGGGGGAGATGAGGTTCAAATGTTATTCTTAAAAACAGTAAGATAACACAGACAGTTAAATAAAAACACAACCCACTGCCACGGAGGGAATCCCACTCACGGCACCTCACGCGTTAGGGCAGAATGTCTCTCCCCCGTTGTTAGTGCCACTGAGCCAGTTCCAACCCACAGCGACCCTACGTGTAACAGAACCAAACACTGCCTGGCCTGGCTCATCCTCACACCTGCTGCTATTTTGGGCCCACAGTTGCAGCCACTGTGTCGATCTATCTCATTGAGAGCGTTCTCTTTTTTGTTGACCCTCTATTTTACAAAGTGTGATGTTCGTCTCCAGGGACTGGTCTCTCCTGATAGTATGTCTAAAGTGTATGAGACAAAATCTCACCGTCCCAACTTCTAAAGAGCGTTTTGGCTGCACTTCTTCCAAGACAGACTTGTTCTTTCCTCTGGCAGCCCAGGGTATATTCAGTATTCTTTGCCAATACCACAATTCAAAGGCATCAATTCTTCTTCAGTCGTCCCTATTCATTGTTCAGTTTTCACATGCATATAAGGCATTTAAAAATACCATGGCTTGTGTCAGGTGCACCTTAGTCTTCAAATGACATTTTTGCCCAGTGCAATACACTGTCTTTTTTTTGACTCCCACATCCACAGGTGTTGATTGTGGACCCAAGTAAAATGAAATACTTATAGACCATCTCATGAATGGATCTGACGCACTGAACACTAATGACCAAAGACCAGACAGTTGTGGGATGAAAGCAAAGGTCATTAAAAGGACAAGAAAGAAAGAAAGACAAAAACAGATGTTAGAAGAGACTGTGAAACTTGCTCTTGAACATAAAGTACCTAAAGTGAATGGAAGAAATGAATGACAGAAATGATGACAGAAGTTTTCAAAGGGCAACTTGAAGAGACACAGTGAATTATTATAAATGTGAAGAGACTTGGAATTGGAAATCCAAAAGGGCAGAACAAGCTCAGCATTTCTCAAGCTGAAAGAACTGAAGAAAAAATGCAAGCCTTGAGTCATGATACTGCAGGATGCCATGGGCAAGACATTAAATGACGCAGGAAACATCAAGGGAAGATGGTAGGAATACACAGTCACTTTATCAAAAAGAACTGGTTGACAGTCAAACCACTTCAGGAGGTTGCATATGATCAAGAACTGCTGGTACTGATGGAAGAAGTCCAAGCTGCAAATAAAGGCACTGGAGAAAAACAAGAGTCCGGGAACTGATGGAATACCAACTGGGATGCTTCAACAGACACAGTACTAGAGATGCTCACTTTTCTACGCTAAGACATTCGGAAGACAGCTACCTGGCCAACCGACTCAAAGAGATCCCTATCTGTGCCCACTCTAAAGAAAGGTGATCCAACAGAATGTGAAAATTGTCTTAACAATATCATTAAATCATACATAAGTAAAAATGTGCTGAAGACAATTCAAAAATGGCTGTAGGAGAAGAACCAGATGGTGCCTAGCTATCACTGTCAAGCACCAAGAAGGGGATATGTACAGGATATCCTGGATAGAGTGGGAAAGCAACGTGGAACAAAACCCAAAATCATAAAAAGAAAAAAAAGGGACCAGGTTTGCTGGTCTGATAGAAACCCCGAGACTATGGCCCCTAGCTGCCCTTCCGGTCTGGAATTGAATTCCTGTGGCTTTCAGCCAAATAAAAGACCAGCATATGGGCTAAACATTTACATCTGGTAGATACACTCCTTGGAGAGGTCGATCATGGGAGAACAGAAGGGCTGTGTACGCACAGGGGGACAGCTTGGGGGACAGGAGTGCATGGAGGGAAGGACACAGGGAAGAGGTAACTATGGGGAGGAAGTGGTAAGAGGGCTGTTACATTGTGGAAAATTCCAGTCAATGTGATGAGACAAAATGTGCATGAACTGCCGTGTGGAAAGTGTACTGTGTAAACTTCCACCCAGATAACAATTTTTTTGTTTTTTTTTTTATAAAAAGGCAGTAGCAGTGTTTTGACTGGGAACTTCCAGAAATTCAAGCTGGATACAGAAGAGGACGTGGAATGAGGGCCGTCACTGCTGATGTCAGGTGGATTAGAACTGCTCCTGTTAGCCCTCAAATTGCCAGGCCTTCGTAACCTCAAAACCTGTAAGTCCATGGATGTCCCCTTCGTTTTGCCAAGGCCCCTTTCTTCCTCCTTCCTGAGACGGCAGAAGCTAAGGTTGAGTTTGAACAAGATGAAGGGTCCCAACTCGAGAGACTTTTTTCTGTCCTCTTTAGTGAGTCTGTGTAGTTGAATCTGTACATGCCAGAAGCTCACGTGATGTGATTCCCACGTGTTCACTGTTATGTCTATTGTGTAAGATGTGAGCTGGTTTATACCGTAAGGCATTACCAGGGCAATAGGAAATCCACTTTTAAGTAAGGGTGACAAAGAGGCAACAAACGGAAAGACAATGCACCTGCGATGAAGAAAGTCAATCCAAACAGGTCACTTAAGGAGGTTAAGAAACCACTGCTATGTGCTTTCTCCTGAGAGTGAGGGAGAAACTAAGGGAAGAAAAGAAGAACCCTCAGCATGGAGAACTCTGCATCTTGGCTGGGAGTCCACCCACTCACCCAGGTAGCCAGAGGGCCACACAACACTCGCTAAAGGTTAAAACATAAACAGGAGTGGGCTTGGTCTGGACCTAAAGGTAAAGGCAGGGACCGGAGACAGAACACTCCCGACTCTGCACTAACAGCCCAAAGGCAAAGGCAGCGAAAAGGTGAAAAATGAAAAAGGAAGTGGCGTGGCTGGAGCTGATGTTCATTAAGGAAAAATAACAAAGTAGGAACAACTGTTAAGAGGGCCTTGAATGTCTGGCTGAGTTGTTCCTATGGAAAAAAAAGGAAGATCAACCTTCAACAAAAGTCTGAGCTCTTTTGTATCAAAGACTGTTTGTTCCTTATGACCCTCCGAACCACAGGGCAAAACACCATCAAGCTTAGGTCTTTTGGGAAAGCACAGTGGTTACAAGCATGAGCTTCTCAGCTGGTGAGTATCAAGTGAATCTGGAGTAACCTCATTCTGGCTTGACCCCTCTGAAGCCACTTCCTCATTGTCAACTTGGCACAAAACCAAACCAAACCAAAACACTCACTGCCATCCAGTCAATTCCGACTCACAGTGACCTCCACTGGGTTTCCGAGGTGGTATATCATTTTGGAAGTAGATTGCTCCATCTTCCTTCCACTGAGCAGCTGGTGGGTTTGAACTGCCAACCTTCTGGTTAGTAGTCAAAAGCCTTAGGCACTGTGCCACCAGAGCTCCTTAAACTTAGCATAATCATACTTATTTCTCAGAGCCATTTTAGGGATCAAGTAACACAATAACAGGAAATGTGCTCAGCACTGGGACCAACAAAGTTCTTCAAGGTTAAGACAGGTGTCACCCGGCATAGGTGGAGAACTAAGCAACAGCAGACTGGACAGTCAGAGACTCAGGTGGTCAGAGATACAGATAGAGAACTAGGGGGCTGTGGACAGGACGGAGACACGAGAGGAGAACTAAGGGACAGTGGCCAGGAGAGTCACAGACACGGGTGGAGAACTAGGAGGCCGTGGACAGCACAGCTGGAAGGCGTACAGGACAGCTCACAACATCAAACGGGAGTCTTGAGGAGGAGCTGTTCTCAGTGACATCTGCAAAGACTGACATGTGAACTCTCCACACCAACTCTCCACAGGGACCACCAATGGACAACATACCTGACTTCAAGTGCAAAGGCTGAGGAGTGCAGAAAGCAGTTTAGCAAGTTTCTGTCCCTCCAACTTAACAGTGCAATCACAGAGCTGATGTGGCCACAGAGTAAGCAAAGGTCTGCTTAAGAAGTGACTTCTAGGAGCCGCACCCCCCGAACAGTCTACGAGCACTGTGCTGCCGGCCACAGCAGCCCTGGTGTCAGAGGACAAGCAATGCAAGTCAGCCCTGTCGCCACAACCAACGCTCGCTTTCACTGTGGGAAGTTCGTCTCGCCCCAGTCAGCAGAGTATTTAAAATAACATCATGGGTGTAACAGTGTAAACAAAATCATAACACTGCAGACCAGTAATAACTAACATGATCACAATAAAATCCTTAACATGACTGATCACAGGGCAAATCAACCGAGAACTACCAGTGACAACCACCTTCTAAAGAGAGACAGTATAAACCCAGGGAAAGACAACACTCTGATCCTCCACCTTAAGACAACCACTTCACAGTAGACTTGCTTCGGCACTTTAAAGACAGGGTTTTATTTAATTTTTGTACTTACTGCTACTTTCATCTCCGTATTTGTAAATGCAGGTTGGGTTTGCAGGACATAGAGCTGAGAAGGTAGGAGGAACAATATCTAGTATACGCTGATGGTAAGACAACCTACAACACAAATGACAACCTCAGAAAGGGTCCTTCATCAGTCCCACTCTTGAGTAACATTCTGCTTTTCTGCAAAGGCAAACTCTCCAACATCCAGAACTTGGCCGACAACCAAGAGGTAAAAGGAAAAAAAAGTCCCATGAGCTTTTGTGTAAGTCAGCACATCAAAGCTTAGCTTCCTTCACTGGTGGGCCCACCAACCTGGCGGCCAAAGATGTGGGCTGCTGATGGTGGGGGTTAGGGAGCCGTGCAGCACTGGGGGCCAGCAAGGCTGGCAGCCCAGAACGTGGACAGTGTGGGTGGAGGCCACAGTCTGCAGGGCTGGGCGAGTGGAGCCTAGTGTGACATGTGGAGAAGGGCACAACAGTGCAGGTCTTGCTTCTGGTCGTGGGGAAGGAGCAGAGCGAGTTCCCAAAGCGAGGCCCGCACGCATCACAACCGGTAAGACATGAAAGACACAGAGGGAGCAGCGAATGTTCACGACTGACGGGGTCTGCAGACAGTGACAGAGCAATGCCACACATGGTCCTGGACAGACCAGAAAGGAAAAAGAGTGCTACTGGACAGCCGGCCAAACGCCAGCATCACCTGTGGACTGTACGGTAGCACGGTGCCAAAGGCGACTCGTGAGTTCGAGGGCTGGATGTTGGCCACAGGAGGGTGTCCTCGTTTGGGAGAAACACACAGTGATAAAGGACGATGCCATATCGTGCTCACAGCTTGCACTACACGTTCTGAAAAAGACCGGCGTAGTGGGCGTAGCA